CCTACAGTTCTTTTTCTCGTATTATCTCACAAAATAGATGTATAGGGTGTTTGGTTTCCCACCCATTAGAAGAACCTCTTAAACTCCAAAGGTCTATCATTCCCCTGTCCTAAGAAGTAATGATGATAAATTGTCATTTTTAATTCAATATTGTTAACATCGTTTAGGAACTAACTTGTTTTCTTTGAAGTTAGGAAGTACCTAACAAGGTCATTAATATGTGTTTATATTTAAGTATTTTGTTGTAACATAATACACGTACGGAAAGGTGTGTTAAATGTAATTTTAAAGTTTAAGAAATTATAAAATTATAAATTATTTATGTTATAAAATTATTATATATTATAAAAACCCCTGTAACCACCATCCTGTTTAAGAAAAAAAAATGTTTCTATTACTTCAGAAATGTCCCCTGCCCTTTCCGGTCACACTCTTTCCTCCCCCCACCCCCAACATAATCACTCTCCTGACTTTTATAGTAATCATAGAAGCATACATCCTTACACACTTTAGTTTTGCCAGCTTTCAAACTTTATATATGGATGTGTTCGTTTTCTTTCACAGTATCTTTAATAGGAAGTCTTAATAGAATAAGGCTGTCTATTAATACAGGTTTTATGAAACTTTTACCTGTGCTTTTGTTTCTGACTCACGCTTAACTCCAGCTGTCATTTCAGAGACATTTGTTTCTCAGGAGGGAACATTAGCTACGGTATCATAAGTCTCCCTTTTGTTTATTAATTGAATTGCTTTCTTCACAGACTTTAATTCTCTTAAAGCTTGTGTATGTTTGTTTCTTTTGTGACTCTTCTAATCAGAGCTCCTTTATCATGTCTGTTACCTAAATCTTTAGAAATGTATCTCTTCACTGTGAGTTTCCTTATATAGACTATGACCATGAGCGGACCTAGTCATTTGCTTTCTAAATTCACAGAAACATATAGATAAGAAGTGTTTAGCAAAATGTCTGAAACAGTAGACTTAGTCAAATACAGAACAGGCTGTTTTTTTAGAAAAATTCATTCTGTGGCAGATCTTAAATATTTCAAAATCATTTAAATGTTGAGTCTTACAGGGCAAGATGGACGGTATCCAGTTCAAAAGCAACTTTAAACATCTTTTCAGAATGCCCTTTTCAGCCCATTCTCTTTAGTGCTAAGTGAGATATGATTTCAGGATTTTTAACCCAAAGCTTTAGATTTTAAAATCATAAGGGGCACCTGGGTGGCTCAGTTGGTTGAGCGACTGACTTTGGCTCGCGTCATGATTTCACGGTTTGTGAGTTCGAGCCCTGCGCCGGGCTCTGTGCTGACAGCTCAGAGTCTGGAGCCTGCTTTGGATTCTGTCTCCCTCTCTCTCTGCCCCTCCCCCACTCATGCTCTGTCTCTCTGTCTCAGAAATAAACATTAAAAAAAATTTTTTTTAAATCATAAAAACTCCTTATGTTTTCATGGTACTTGTATAATTTTGTTTTCACAGACAGTATTTCAGTTGATTATCTCAACAACCCTGTATTGTAAGGAAGACTTACTAAAACTCCATTTTATTATAATTTCCATGTAGAATAAATATAGCCCAAAGCAGGGTGTTTGTTGGACTTGCCTATAGTCCTAGAACTAGTGAAGAGTAACTAACTGAGACTTGAACCTTAAATATCTGTCTCCCAGTTAAACTGTGTTTTGTTTTTTCTGCCCCAAGACCAGTTATGTATTACTCGATAGATAGCAACTAGACCTCTAAAGAAATCAGTATTATAAAGCAGGGTCTATTTTTCCAGTTTAGTTCAATCAAGTTTTTGTTTTTGTTTTTGTTTTTAAATACTAGTGAGATTTAAATTTGATTAGTTGAAAGTTCAGGTGCATTCCATCCTGAATTTTAAAAAGGAAAAAAGCAACTCTTCAAAGAAGAAATCTTGTTTCTGTTCTTCCAGTGATGGACCCATATGTCTTAATTTTTAACTTTGTAAACAGGCTTTTAAGATTTTACCTGTTTCATGGCAAAGAGACATTAGGTAATTTCTGACTGCTTTTGGGGGAAAAGTGAGAATTGTAGTCTTAGTCACTTGTGGAGTATGTCTGGGCTAACCTTTGCCTCTTGATAAAACAAAGGGTAAGGAACTTGTAGTCAAAAGTACTTAGTCTGTCGTGGAATATTCAGCCTTAAAAAGGAAGGAAATTTTGATACATGCCACAACATAGATAAACCTTGAAGACATTAAGTGAAATAAGCCAGCCACAAAAGAACAAATACTTTATGAGTCTACTTACATGAGGTACCTAGAGTAGTTAAATTCATAGAGACAGAAAATGGAATTGTGGGAGCCTGGGGCTGGGAGAGGGGAGAATGGGGAGTTAGGGTTCAATGGGTAGAGTTTCAGTTTGGGAAGATGAAAAAGTTCTGGAGATTGGGTGGTGGTGGTGGTTTCACAGCAGTGTGAATGTACTTAATGCCACAGAACGACTGTACATTTAAAAATGGTTTAAAATGGTGAATTTTATGTTATGCATATTTTACAATAATAGGAAGAAGAAAAAAGTGTTTAGTCTGAGATAGGGATGCAGGGGTGCTTTGGAGGAGAAAGCAAGAGAACATAAAAGGCTCACCTGCCATGAGTAGGCACATAAAATTTTGAGGTAACTCAAGGCACGAAGGGAATACGGTGTTAAAGTTTAAATAATGTAATTTTTCAAGAGCATTTCAATCTGGATGTTGGTGGATTTAGGAAAATTAAAAATACCTCACCAATATCTCACTACAAAAACCTCACCAGTGTGGACAAATGCAGAAAAGATTTGAATCTGTGTAAAATCTACATTGATTTTTTACAGTTTTATTTTCAAGTATATAACCAACGCACAAACTGTGTATGAAAAAATATTTTTGGGTGGCAGAGAGGTCTTTGATGTCTCTTTTAATGAGATCAGAAGAATTTATAATTAAGTCATCTAATTATTTAGCACGTTAAAAGATGTGTAAATATTTTGTTGAATGGATGTTAACTAATGTTTATAAAACACTTGTTCGTATTTCTCTTAAGTAAATTTATCTCAGGTGCTCTGAATATACCATTTCTTAGCAAACTCTTATTTTTCTAGATTAAAGAAAAACTGAACTGTAATTTTATTTGCAACCTAAATCTTTATTAATGGTATTTAAATTTAGTGAGGTATTCTCTACAGTTTTATGTTCTAATTCTTTTTATTGTTTTGAAAATCTTTGAAAAAATTAGGCCAAGGAAAGTTTTGGTGTTTTTTGTTTTTATTTATTTGTGTGTGTCCAGGCTTCTTTATTTAAGAAAGTTATGAGTGATGTGGGGATTAAAAACAAGAGCATCCTTGAACTTTACCTTCCCTCCATCCAGTTTCCCCCAAACTCCCTGCCCCCACACCCTTTGTGTTCCCAAATCCTTTCTTAGTGAAGAACTTAATCCTAAAGTCCTGGTTTGAACAAACCCCAGGTTTTGTTTCTCTAGCTCTCCCCCTTCCTCTGGCCCCCATTCCTGGGAGGGGCTGGCACCTCACTTTGCATGGGAGAGACCTGAGTGGTGACAGATGGAAGGAAAGGCTTCACTCTTAAGGAGAGGGACTGAAGAGTACAGTGTAGTGAAGTGAGGGCCCCCACTGCCTGGGGTACCAAAATGGAGCCCTGGTGCCAGAGGAAAGGATACTGGTGCCCTTGAGAAAGGGGATGCAGAGCCTCAGAATCCTCTTGTTGCGAACAGTCACTGCTTGTTTGCCCTTCTGCCAACGATTGCAGAACCACACTCATACTACATCCTTCTCAAGCCTGAGCTGCTGGGCAGTGTGGCTGATCTGTTGCAGGGTAGGTTTTGGAGCATGTCCTCCAGGTTGCCTCTCATTCAGTTCTTGACACTTGTTTGCTTTCTCTTTTGGGCTTGCCCAAGGGTCTCTGCTTTGCATAGCTCCTGTGGATTTTTGTTGTTGTCACCTTCCTCCACCCACTTCTGCAGGGGCCACAGCTTACACATGTTCTTGAAACTGAGCTTCAGAGCCTCAAAACAGCACATGGTCATTTGGCTGAGCACCTTCCCAAAGAGAACCTCCAGGGTGAGCCCCACATTGGCCTGAGCATATCCCAGGGTGATCCGCTTCTGCTTCAGGAGCTTGGCAGATTGTTCCAGGTCTGCAGAGCTTTGATGTCCTGGGACTCCTGAGGGTTTTGCTCAAGCTTCACAGCCCCAGGTGGGGCACCGCAGAGATTGGGGGAGGCCCCCTCAGAGTTGCTCTCCACCCTGGCTCCCCACTCACCCTCCAGCTGAGAGGTCTCCAGGCTGCCAGGACCTCCAACCTGAGGTCCACAGTATGCCATCTCTCCTCAGAATTCGTACAGCATGCGGGCGTGGGGGAATCCCCCACATCTCAGGGCCTGGCCCAAACCCCCTGTCCCATTCCTGACCCACTGGGAGGGCCTTGGAAGCTCAGCCAGGTCTGAGGGTCAACCCAGCTGGGCTCTGGCCTTCCCTGCCCATCATCTCCATTGCCTGTCGCCTCCACTGCCTGGAGGGACAAGAAGGCCAAAGCGGAAACCAGGTGTCCCACCATGAGGAACAGAGGCACCCCAAGCTCAGGGCCTGGAAACATCTTGTTGTTTTTTATTGAATGGTTACTAGTAGATGAAAAATCCTCAACTAATATCATGCAGTGTGTAAATTTCAGGTTTTTTGCTGTTGTTAATTCCATAGGTCAGATAAGACTAAGCATGTCATAATGTACTAGTGTCTTGAATGCCTGGTGAAGATTCTAAATAGTGTTTTTAATATGTGGGCACTAAATATTCTATAAAATATTTACTGACATTTATTGTAATTACTTAGGCTTTTACCCTAAGTCACTTTCTATTCCAAGAAAGTATTTGTAAAAATAGAAGCTAGCAGTCAAATAGAAGTTGAAATGTGGGATTTGGATGTTTGTGAACTTTAGATGTGCACATTTTTTATCTTTTACTTCACTAAGGAAATTTGTTTTTCTTTTTAATTTTAGTAAAAAATCCCAGAAGTGGGATGAAATGAACATCCTGGCGACATATCATCCAGCAGACAAAGACTATGGTTTAATGAAAATAGATGAACCTAGCACTCCTTACCATAGGTAATGTTTCCCAGACATTCCTTTTTTACTTCCATTTTGCATTCGATTTGAGCTTCTGGATAACAGCTGATTTAAGTTTCTGTATGATTTTATACTTGCTACTGGAGCACTAATCAGTAACTTAACTGAATATTTTTGTATAATAGTATAAGTAGTATGTAACTTTAAAATTTGGGGGATCCATTTGTACATCATAATTGTAGTAGTAAATGTTTGTTGTAACTCAGTGGTCCCTAGTAAAAACACTAAAAACAAGAATAAACATGAAGATTGTGACAAAGGTAGAAAGAGATAATGAAATAGGTACAGGTACTGAAACTCAATACTAATAAAGCTTGAGGGAAGAAATAGACATATTATTTATGAAAAGTTAATGCCCTTGTTTTTCTAATTACAAGTATATAATATAAAACATGTCTTAAAGCTTTTATTGTACCAGAAACAAAAATCAGGGCTTTCTTCCTTTTCAATAATTGTAATAGATAGATATCCTTTATTATCTGTGTTGGTTAGAAATAACTATCCGAAAAGAATTAAAATTGTATGTGACTGAAAAAAACAGTCATAGGCATTATTTTTAGACTGTTTATATTTAAAATATAATAAATCTGAATGGTATTTTATTAGGTACTGCT